AACGAATCAAACCTTTATCTTTGATTATAACAATGTTGCGTTGTACAAAGTCAATACATTTTATTTCGTACTATTTATAATGAATATCGACTATAACGATCATTATCTTCGATAGATATCTTGTTGCTAAAATTACCTAATTACTAGATAATTAACTAATTTATGTGCATGTCGCCAACAAACAATCGAAAATTGTGCACGTGTCGTTACGATTCTTTAGTCTTACTGTTCATTGCTTCTTTCGATATAGTCGGATTTTATTGATTAAGGAAAATACAATTTATTATTATTGTAAGATCAACCACAAGTACAGTATATTATTGTGTGCATATGACAGAACAAAGAACTTTTAGGAATGCTATGAAAACCGAGACATTGTTTTCAAATTAATTAGTATGTCAATCCTCGGACTTTTATAGAATAATTCGAATTCTCGATTGCGTACCTTTTTCTCACAGCTACATTAGTCATTTTCCTAAATAATTAATATTTATAGTTTGTTCATACAACACACCAGAGATTGCTGCAGTTCACTCTCATAAAGAAATGTTACCGTATACGGTATTTCCTTAACAAGTAACTTGAGGTGCGATATGGACAAACTACAGTACTGTATTAAGGAATAAATCTGTGAACACATACTGTATATTGCTACAATTGTACATACCATACATGCAACTTCGGCGCCCCGAAAACCAAGAATGGCATGAATTTTAAAGTTCTTTGATTCTTTAAAAAATAATTATTCAAAATATCGATTAAGTTGATAACGGTCGACGTACTAAAATAAGGAAAAAATAATGATCAACATACTTTGACCAAATAGATCTTCGTTACAATGAAAAATTGATCATCACAAACACTGTACTACAGCTGTGCGTATGTATTGCCGTCACTCGTAAAATTTATTAAAAATCAATTAATTTGTTGATATTATATAAATTTTCATGTTTATTTAACTGATAGTAATTACATTCATATTTGACCTCGTCGAGATGCAATACATTTATTATACGAGAACTAATGATTAGAATTATGCGTAGTGTGCATCCGTCTCAAAATATTAATTCGATAACTTTTACTGTATATATGCTGATTTTTTTGTATAATATTATTCGATTCTCTCGTTAATTTTTTGCTTTGTAGAAAAGCAGCGTGCAGCTGAAACGTGAGGAGTAGATAAATTTATCGGGGTAAGTTGAACCACCTGTATTTTATTGCACAAAACGAGTCAGTCATCATTCATTCATTAGATTGATATGATAAAAATCATGCAAGATAAACATACATAGACTAGCTGCTGGTACATTTCCTCCTTTAGTTCGGACTCTTTGAAGATAGGTCACACTGGAGAAAGCGCCGCTTCCGGTGTTATTCTAAGGGACAGAATAATGTCAACAGGAGTTACATAATCATGCAGTCGTGAATGAGAAAAATACTTACAAAAGCTTTAGATCTAAGCCAGGGACCATCGGCATCAGGATTTGGTGCGGGCGTAGTTGCATTAATCGCAAAGAGGCTTGACGAAGTATCAGTGGGTATTACTGCTCTGAACCCTGCGGCTTGTTCGGTAAGACTAATTTCTACATTTGATTAAAACTTACGAATCAGTAATGTAATAATGAAAGAAATGCTTTCATGTAATGACTTGATTTTTATTTGCTTACCAGCGTCTACTGATACCGCGGTGACGAAGGTAGGATCATCGTAGACACATTTAAAGTCTTCGGGTTTGTTAACAAGGATTCCGAGTGGTCCAACTGTATTTTTAAATTAATACACAAACATTTTCATTTTTAAATAAATACATATATT